CTCAGCTACGAAATACATAAATTTTTGGAATTTCTTAAATGTAAAGAATAATTGTTTTCTGGCTTCTGTGTTACAGCTTTTTGACGAAGAAATTCCTTAACTCTAAAACTTACCAAACTCTAAAAAATAAAGATATTTGGGCATAGTTCAGGTCCACATCCTACCTTAAGAGATTTTTTTCCTAGTGTTAGAGACAAAGCATCAACTGTTATGTCCTCTGAATACAGGACTGCTGAAAATGCTGTCCCTTAGTGTTTAATATCGTGGTCAATTTGTCAGGGATTGTTCCCAGAAGAGCTTTGGGAAGTGTCTACTTAAGACTCTCATATGTTGCTAGCGATCCTGGCTTCGCCAGACTTACCTTCACAGACCTTACAACCTGAGCGTCTCCCCACAGAGGGGCCCAGAATGTGCTGCACATCTGGAAGGTTGTGTTGCAGGAGAGAAGCACTGAGCTTGGGGAATCCACTTTTCTTCTGTCTGTCAAGCATAAGCGAGCCTGTTCTTTGTCCCAGAAGGAAACATCAAAGCTGCTTGCTGCAAACACAAACCTGAGAAATGCTTGACTAAAAAGGGCCATCAGGGCCTGCTTCTAAATTCAAAACCCTGCACATTCTACTTCCTCCCAAGTAATCTCAGCAACATGGCAGAGAGACCTTAAGTTTGCACTTCCACACCTGACACATCATTTTCTCCCAGATTAGCTTCTTTCTCCTTTTTCCTACTCACTGAGGTGCCAACCCATTTTCAACATTTCCTCATGCACCGGGTCATCAAGGTTTATGGGGAGGCAGGGTTGTTGTTGTTTCACCTCTTAGATACCTCTTCCTTTTCCACTTTACACACAATTGAGTTGGTTTGCACCCTCTTCTTCAAAAGGTGAAGGCAGTACTAGGCTAGTGTCTTTGACTCCGGTTGTATTTGTCTCCAGTGTCCTAAAATGCAGTGTTGTCCCCCTAATTTCCATGCTGAAAATTTTTCACTAGTTTAAGCCTTCCAGATAAAATTTTAATTTCCTATCATGATCTTCCTACTTCTCATGTCTCCAGTTTCATTTACTCAACATTTCTTTCACTTAAATGTTTTGTAAAAATTGCTTGTGGGCCTCTGGGTAAGCATGCAGTCCTTGTCACTTTGGACTCTGTGTTCTTATAAACTTAGAATTCCTTGGCATATGGTAGGCATGAGATGTACACATATGTCACAAATATTTACTGGGTAACTAAAAGCATAAACAGGATTAGCTTAAATGCAGCAGGGTTTGGTTTAAGGAATTACTTAGTCCTACATTCTCTTCATGTAGTCCCTTTACCTTAACCAGTCATGATGATGGAACTCTTTTGACCAACATCAGATGACAATTTAGATTTGTAAGGCCAGGTGCAGTGGCTCACGTCTGTAATCTTAGCACTCTGGGAGGCTGAGGCAGGAAGATTGCTTGAGCTTAGGAGTTTGAGACCAGCCTGAGAAAGAGCCAGACTACATCTCTACTAAAAATAGAAAATTAGCTGGGTGTTGTAGTGAACACCCATAGTCTTAGCTTCTTGGAAGGCTGAGGCAGAAGGATCACTTGAACCCAGGACTTTGAGGTAGCTATGATCTAGGACACCATGGCACTCTAGCCTGGGCAACAGAGTGAGACTCTGTCTAAAAAAAAAAAAAAAACTAAATTTGTAGACAATAAATAATTAAAAACATTAAGAGGGTACAAATGTTACTGTTATATACTCTGTGCTTTCTAGACTACCCCAACTTTCAGACTACCAGTAATCACAATTATCTTGTTCAATTGAACAACACCAATATAAATATAGACAAATCAAGTTAACCTTATTTTTTGTTAGGACGCTATGATTCATTAAAAAAAAAAAAACTCTTTGTTTATAGCTGGAAAAGCTAAAAGCACAGCATATAAAGTGGCTATTGAAAAATTACTCTCCCATCTTCCCTTCCTTAAGTATTTCCATGTTAATTTAACTGTTGTCTTTGGCAAAATGTATGCTGTGAGCATTTCACCATCTAATCAACTCTGTGACTTTGTCAGCAAGAGTCAGAGCTTATGTCATGCACACTTAGCAGTAACAACTTGGAGTACTTCACTAAATGATATTATCGACCCATATAGCTATTTAATATGCTGGGACACACTTTGGCTACACAGGAAATGAAATTTCCCCTTTTGGAGATTCTTGGGTTTTTTTTTTTTTCTCCCTTTTGAAGATTCTTGAGGTCAAGTTTATTGCCAAATGCAAGCACTCCTTGGAGCCCTCCTGACTGTCTTCAGTGGGTCTTGTACCATGTCCCATAGTTCTTTTCCCTCCTGGAGGAGTCAGAATGGCTTCATCTTCACCGTGACAGAACTCACAGAAGTATGCAAAAGCTGGTGTGTCTGTCAAGCCTTGGGTCTCTGCCAGACCATGCAGAGAGGTGTATCCATTCCATTCACTGACCATGACTCTGTTAAAGCACCTCACTTGTGGTGAGCAGACCATAGACTACAATATATAGTCTCAAGAATATTTCCACAGAATGGTGGTCTTAAGACTCTATTTTCTATCCTCATGTGCCCGACTGTAAGATACTGTCAAAGCCAGAGCCACTGGGAGGTCAGGTCTGCCTCCTTGTACACATTGTGGATTCAGGAGCATTTGTCAGGCCTTGCTCAAAGTCCCTCTTTCCTATGACTCCAGCTTTGAACATGGGGACAGGTGCCTAAAAGCATTCTTGGGCGCTCTATTTTGCCTTTGCCATTTCCTGCTATCTTCCTACCCTCTATAGCCCATTTCCCTCCATAAATCTGGATCCTTAGCTGTGAGGTGGCCCCAGGACACCACTAGTCTTGGCAATTAATGTGGGCCTGTTATCTGCTAAACTGTGCGGAGTAATTTCATTTGGCCCCAATCATCATCCAGGCTGTGAACAGATCACCTCTCTTGGAGATATTATTTCCACTCAGCTCTAGGGTTGATTATTTGCATTTTTTAATGATTCAGTCATCATCTTAGTTAATGTTCTTCTATCCTCTTTCTTCTTAAACCTCTCCTGGGAGCCTCAGCCTGCATTTGCTCAACAACCTCACCCTCCACGGCCTAGAAGTCCAGTGTGAGGACTTCTTGTGGGACTGAATTGTCTTTGGGGATTCCACTAATGGAACTTGGCAGGCTCTTTGACCCCTACCCAGAAAGATGATGTGTACACAAAGTCCTTCTCTAATTAAGATGGCCTAATCAGAAAAAGTCAAACATTATTTCATTACAGAAGAAGTATCTATCCCCTTCCCTGTAACTCCTTTCTTTAATGTTCTAATGCTATCTGCAGACAAATTTGGATTTGTTTTTTCTTAAAATTCTTCATTGTATTTTCACCAAGGTAGATCCCCAAATTCCATTTTCGAAGTATAATAACACCTTTCATCTCTAATTATCTTTAATGTTCAGGTGGGCCCAGTCTTACCTTAGACCATCCCCTAAATTTCTGATCCCTGTCTTCATGGGCACATTCCTACTTTCAGCCTCAGCTGGTACCCTCTAGTCAACTAAGACCTCCCTCTGGTAAGTCATCACATTTCTGTGATTCCTTCCATTCTTTATCTCAGCCACATTCACCTCTCCCTCTGTCCTGGTCAGTATTCAGCAAGTAAGTCTAACCTTAAGAGGAGCCTCTGAAATGCTCTTTAGATATTTTTAGGATTTTTTTTTTTTTAGCCAGGGCTGGGTTTGAACCCGCCACCTCCAGCATATGGGGTTGGTGCCCTACTTCTTTGAGCCACAGGCACCACCCCCCTGAAATGCTCTTTAGATATTACCAACTGCAATTTCTCAGTAGAGCCTTCTTCCCTGGCTACTTCTAAGTACCCCTGATTTACAGAGCAGTAGCTCATAAGTTAAGCTAAGCTCATAGATCTATTGTGATTGCCATACACTGAGTTTTTCTTATTTGAAAAACTGCTTGTGCTTTTTGCATGTTCAGCATGCTTCTAGCAGTTTCTATATTCTTATATCTGACCAATTTTGGTAATTTATATTAACTAGCTAAATATCCTGTAACTCCTTTCATCCTGGTAACACTTGCTGCCAACCCATTTTTCCAGAACTTTTTAGTTCTCCTTTGTCCATTTGGTCCTCCCTACCTATCCTCTGTCATCCTTACAGACTCCCCACCATTTAATGGGAATAATATCTTTAACTTTTTGGTCAATATACTGGTCTTTGGAGCCATCTTTCTGTGATCAACTTCTGTCTAACAAGACTCAGCTTCCCTAATGATTCTACTATCCTGAATGTATAGATCATACATACATATTGTTAAATTTGACTTTCTATTAAATTACTCTCCATTTCGAGTCCTAATACCAAATCTAAGTAGATATAAAATAAATCTTCATCTCTGTTTTTAAAGACCATATAAAGAAATAATAGTAGTCTGATGTTGATGTGTTAGTGGCTTGTTGTACAACTTTTCATTTTCAGTTTCCAAAGAAAAGAATTTTCCAACCTGTGTTTTATCTGCCTTTTGCATTTGTGCATGAGGATCCACACTTGCTCAGCTTAAACACTTCTCACAACAATTCTATCTCAGTTTCCCAGTACAGGCCCTGTTTCTCCATAGACTCACACACATTATTAGCATAGAATTATGAATCCTATATGCTTTCCCAGAAAATGTTGATAGTTGAAATAAAACATGTTAAAGTAGCTGTAGTCAAATGTTGCTTTAGTAAACAGAGTTAAAACATGGACAGAAATCTAAGATAATTTGTGCCAAGTTTGCCACTTATGCAAAGAGTTACTTGGTTTACTGGAAGCAGTAGCTAGTAGCTTAAGTTCCAGAATTACTATTCTATTGTTGGGCAAATAGATGAATTATATTTAAGATGTGATCTTCAGTAATGAGTAGAAGTGATGACCTCATGTATAAAGCTTAAGAGATCTGGTGGTTTCTATTGAAATGCACTGAATCGACATAAACATATATCTGGTTTTTGGTTTTTAACTTTGTAGGAAGTCAACGTGTTGACTGTTGCATTGGTCAACCAAGACCGAGAGAACAATATTGAAAAAAGAAGCCAAGGCTTAAAATCAGAGAAAGAAGCTCTGCTAATAGGTAAGGAAATTCTGTTTGCATCTCCTTTCTTAAATAATGCTCAGGTAATTAATATTTTAGCAATTCATCTCCAACTTGTTAACAATTTGAACAGCTTTGCTTTCTGGTCAGAGGTGTCATTAACTTCATCAAGGTTATGTTACATACATTTCAAATTAGTGGCATACAAACTAATGTGGGTTTTGCTCTTCTGTAACCATATATATTAAGTGGTTGTCAGACATAAAACCGAGTTCAGGAAAAAAGGTTAATTTGCATTTCAGAAGTTACAAATCTGAATTTTAAAGTTTGAACATGTCACTTCGAACTAGAGACCAAGTTGGTTCTAGCCCTAAACTTTAAAATCAAACCAGATACCCAGGCTCCAGAGCAGCTTTGAACCCCAAGATTAAGCTCCAAGCCCCTTAGCACTGGTCATATCCTAAGGTCAGCCCCTAAAGCCAATGAAACAGGCATTCAGGCTGCTGCTGCTGCGAGGCTAATTCAGGTCAGACTTCCTTGGCCAAGGTTGGAGCCTTTCATCCAAGGTGAGAGAAAGAAGCTGGCCATTAAGGAAGAGGAAAGAGAAAGAAAGGAAATTACTGTTTACCTACAAACATTCAGCCCCACAACAGACATCTAGCTTAGCTTTGTCTTCATCTGGCCCTGAGTTAGAAGCCTCCAAATGATCTATTTTGAGAGTCATTGTCAGTGGATCCCACAGGAGGAATTTTTAATGAGGATGTGTTGATAAAGTGTCTGGGACCCACCTTAGAAATCTGTATGTTTAAGGTTGTCACTCAAGCCCTCAGATTCAGGAGAAAAAAGCCACCATCCCAATTTCTGTGATCATAGTACTCTTTTGAGCTGCACCTTAGCACTGACCCCAGTGTGCATTTCTAAGTTTAGACTGGCTCTTCTGTGGTATGGTTAAGAATGAAGAATTAGGCTATTGTGTGCACGTACATGTGAGACAAATTGTTCTTCTGTAGTTCGTTATCTGGCAAAAGAGATACCTGGTTGTATTTTCTAAATACTGCATGTGCTCACCTCAAAATGACAGGTACGCCAGGGCCTGCAGAAGCTGGCACAGGAGGAATTAAACTCAAAGGATAGTCCAAACTTCATCCATCATATATAGATTTTTCAACTACAGGGTTATTGAATATGACATCAACTTAGAGATACTCCAAGGAAAACCAATTATTTTTTTTCTCTCTGATGATATACAGCTGTAATAACATGCCATGCCCAAGTCTCAGAAGACATGCTGATGTGCTGTCAGTTCCAGGAACCTAAAATGAACCCATGTGTAGTTGGTAACTGGATTTCTCTTCTATTGGAAAAGATGTCCAATTCTGACAACTGTTTCTCTTTCACTCGGTGTGACAAAGGTGTGATTTCCCCCCTAATGCTTTTAGGGTATACACAGAGCACATCAAACCTGCAATGCTGTCCCTCCCTGTTTAAGTGTGAATAATGCTAACCATTTGAAGGTTAAAAAAAATGGGAGTGAGTCTCTATTTCCAGATCTTTACTGTCTTTTCTTCCTTTCATGAAAGAAGGCTTCCCTTTTACATTCTACTTGGGAAATACAGTTCATTAACAATGTCTTATGTATGTAGTAGTCACTAGTAGTCACTTATACATACATATACACATTATTGATACATATACACACTTTTTTTAAATCAGTTACTTCAAAATTTTTAAAATGACATGTTTTAGGACATTGTACATTAATGAGAACCACTGTCTATAATATCTGTTGGGGACGAGAATACTCTTCAAAGTTCCCCTGAGAGCTGGGAATAATTAAACCCATGCAGAGGACACAATGGGCATGCTCTAAGCCAGCCTAAAATACCAAGGGCATAGAAGAAAGTCTCTCTCAACTTGGAAATATTAGTTGGCAAAATCTTAAATCACACCTGAGTGTTACAGTATATACAGGGTCTGGCAGAAGTGATGCCTGTTATGTTACAGAATTATGTGCACAAATAACAGCAGAAACAATGCCTATTTTTATGAGCTGGTATACCAATCGATACCAATCTTTTATTACAAAATCATGAGCATGTGATTTGGTAATATAACAGTATCTCACTCAAGCACAAAAGGGTATTACTTCTGCTGGCCCTCAATACTATATGCCAATATATTCAGATGAGTCAACACTCCTTGGGGGCACGTAAAATATTATATAAGAAAGGGACATTGGCACAAAACTTGATTGCCTGGAAGAGAATGGGAATGAAAAATTAGTAAACTCTTCAATGAATTCCATCTATAGAGAGTATAAAACTGAAGCTACAAATCCCTAAACAATGACCTATCCTAGTTACTTGCAATTACCTGTGGCACTAATTTATCTGGGCAAAAGTGTGTATTCTGTCCAGACATTCTCATGACCACTGGAGTTTTTATTTCAAGACATACAAGTTGGTATTTATTGGAGAGAATCACTGGGATTTCAATGATACCGTGATTTGGAACATTGCATATCTGGATCCTGACTCTTTTGAGCGTTCAGTCATTCTGCCAAACTTCCTTCTTGACAATTAATGGAGATTGAATTGTTCCAACTCAAGTAGAGAAAATAGACCCTTAGAAAGAACTTTAGTATTGCAATTTCTAGATTATTTATTTTGTAATCAATACCTGTGCAGACATGTTGACATATAATTGAACACGAAGGAATTCAATTTTTACAGGGGATTGAAGGTAGCATTTTAAGTTTCATAACTTTATAGTAACTGCACATTAGATCAGGTTGACATTGCCTAGTGTCAGTGCCAGAACTCCTAGTTCATTTCACATATGGCCCACATGTTAAATTTGGCATACATTGCAGTTGTTTGGGGTAGAAATGAATCAACATTTACTATGTAGAGCCAAAATTTCAGAGCTGTGTTTGGTTGGATGTTGTCATGAAGGAGAATAGATCAAATTTTTTTATTGATAAGATAATAGTTCTGAAGAGGTGCTGATAGAATAACTCTTGAGTCTGTATCACTCTTACCTTCTCTTGCTTTATTTACAAGTAGATTTTAGGGGTACAGGTTGAATTCTGTTACATATAGATATTGTATAGTGGTAAAGTCTAGGTTCTTGGTATACTCTCCCCGCCCCCCGAGTAATGTACATTGTACTCCATAGGTAATTTTTTTTTTTTTTAGACAGTCTCACTCTGTCATCCTGGGTACAGTGCTGTAGCATCAGTCTAACTCACAGAAACCTTGAACTGTTGGGCTTGAGCAATCCTCTTGTCTCAGACTCCCGAGTAGCTGGGGCTACTTCTGCTGGTCCCCTGTACTATATGCTAAGCACCCATCATGACACCCAGCTAGTTTTTTGTTTGTAAGAGAAACAGAGTCTCACTCTTGCTCAGGCTGGTCTTGAACTCCTGAGCTCAAGTAATACACCCGCCTCGACCTCCTAGGCCAGGGTGCTAGGATTACAGGCATGAGCCCAGCTACCCCTTAGGTGATCTTTAATCCTTTACCCCCTCTGAACCTTCTCCCTTTTGAGTCTCCAATGTCCATTATACCTTTCTATATGCCCATGTGTAGCCATAGTTTAGCTCCTGCTTATGTAAGAACATGCTGCATTTATTTTTCTGTTTCTTAGTTACTTCACTAAGGATGGTGGCCTCCAAATCCATCCAAGTTGCTACAAAAGATATTATTCATTCTTTGTTATGGCTAAGTAGTACCCTATGGGGGAGGGGTATACACACACACATTCTTAATCCAGTCATCAGTTGATGGACACTTAGGTTAGTTCCATATTTTTATGATTATAAATTGTGCTACAATAAACATGTGACTGCAAATGTCTTTTTTATATAATAATTTATTTCCCTCTGGGTAGATACCTAGTAGAAGGATTACAGGGTCAAATAGTAGGTCTACTTTTAGTTCTTTGAGGAATCTACATAGAGGTTATGCTAATTTACATTTCCACTAACAGTGTGTAAGTGTCTCCTTTTCACAACATCTGCACCAACATCTATTTTTATTTTTTACTTCTTTTTTTGCAGTTTTTGGCCAGGGCTGGGCTTGAACCCACCACCTCCAGCATATGGGGTCAGCCCCTTACTCCTTTGAGCCACAGGTGCCACCCCCTATTTTTTACTTTTTAGTAATGGTTTATTCTAATTACAGTAAGATAGAGTATCTTATTGTGGTTTTAATTGCATTTCTCTGATAATTAATAATTTTGAGCATTTTCTCATATATTTCTTGGTCGTTTGTATTTTTTTTCAAAAAGGTTTGTTTGTGTCATTTGCCCACTTTTAATTGGATGGTTTGTTTTGTTCTCACTGAGTTGAATGCCTTATAGATTTTGGATATTAGTCCTTTCTTAGATCATAGTTTGTAAATATTTACTCTGATTCCATAGAATGTCTGTTACTCTTTCGATTATTTCTTTTGCTTTGCAGAGGCTTTTTGGTTTAGTTAAGTCCCATTTGTCTATTTTTGTTTTGATTGTATTTGCTTAGGAGGTCTTGGTCATAAATTCTTTGCCTAGGTCAGTGTACATAAGAGTTTCTCCAGATTTTCTTCTAGGATTTTTATGGTTTCAGGTTTTACATTTAAGTCTTGCCTCCATCTTAAGCTAATTTGTGTATATGGTGAAAGATAGGGACCCAGTTTAATTTTTTTGCATATGGCTATCCAGTTTTCTCAGAACTATTTATTAAACAATGTGTCCCTTTCCCAGTGTGTGTTTTAGTCTGCTTTTTTGAAAATCAGTTGGTTGTAGATATATGGTTTCACTTCTGGGTTCTTTATTTTGTTCTATTGATCTATGTTTCAACTTTTGTGCCTTTAACTATTCAGGCTGTTTTTTTGTTCAATATTAATTTTAAAATTTCTTTTTCTCAGTCTGTGAAAAATCTTACTATTTTCATAGGAATTGCATTCAATCTATATATTGCTTTGGGCAGTATAACATTTTAAAAATGTTTATTCCTTTAATCCATGAGCATGAGAAGTTTTTCTTAGAGGAAATTAAGA